ATCTTCCCCAAAGAATTAAAAGAATCATACCACAGTGATATATGTGTACCCATGTTCATTGCAGCGCAGTTTGTAATAGTTAAAACTTGGAGACAGCCCAAATGCCCATCAACTGGAGACTGGATAAAAAAAATATGGTTTTTAAAAAAAATAAAATGGAGTACTACTTAGCCATGAAGAATGAGAAATTAGAGACATTTATAGCTAAATAGATGCACATTGAGGTGATCCTCTTAAGTGAAATAAATAGGACACACATGTATAAATACCGCATTGTTTCTGTAGTGTGAGAAAATGAAAATGTATATAAGGACTAAAAGGTATAATAGATAATGTGAAATAGGAAGAAAAGGGGCAAAGGGGAAGAAAGTAGGAGGGGTAGGGGAAAGGAAAGAAGGGAATGGAATTTATATGAGAAAATCAAAAAATAGGAACAAAATCTTTGTAAATAGGGAGGGATGGGGGTGTTATAGGGAGTGCTGGGCAAAGGTGAAAAATAAGAACCAAGAGAGATTATGTAAAGGTACAAATTTCCAATGATGAATGTCATTATATTGTATAACTAAAATGTACCAATGAGTAGAATGAATAATCGATATTGCAAAATAGGAAGAAAAGGTCCAAAGGGGTTGGGGTTGTGGGAGGGGCAGGGGAAAGGAAAGAAGGGAAAGGAAAAATGATGAGAAATGGAAAAAATGGTAATAAAGTCTTTGTAAATAGGGAAGGGTGGAGGGGATGAAGGGAGGGCTAGGAATGGGGAAAAAATAAGAACCAAGATGCATCATGTAAAGGCACCAGTTTCCAATGAGAAATGTGAATGTGTTGTATACCAATAAAATAATTTAAGAAAAATAATAAAAAATAAAAGAAATAAAATTGTGGTAAGATAGACCCAACAAAGTTTACCATCTTAACCAGTTTTAATTGTACAGTTCAGTGGTATTATATCCATTCCTATTGTTGTGCAGCCATCAACACTATCCATGCTCAGAACACTTTTCATCTTACAAAATGGAAACTCTTTACCTATTAAACGTAATTGTCCACTTTCCTTTCTCCCAGGACCTGGTGACCACCATTCCTTTTTTGGTTTCTACAAATTTAATTATTCTAGGAATCTCATGTAAGTGGAATGATACAATAGTTTTCTTTTTGTGATTGGCATATTTCACTTGGCATAATGTCCCTCATTCATGTTACCATATGTGTCAGAATTTCTTTCCTTTTACAAGCTGAATACTCTTCAATGGTAAGTATATACTAAATTTTACTTCTTACTAACCTGTTAATGGACACAAGAATTGCTTCCACCTTTTGGCTATTGTGAATAATGTTGCTATGAACATGATGATTTTACAAATATCTGTTGATTTCAATGCTTTCAAGTATTTCTAATGTGTCAAATTTTCAGTGGAGGATTAGTTTCTCACTAATGCCTAGTTAAAACAGAATTTCTCACCTATTACAAAAATATTTATGATGTGGTACAGTATATGCAATTGTAAACATACTGCATGGTGTATTTATATTGGGAATTATACAAAATAGAATCTACCAGAAATGCTGTATTTGTGGCACAAAGCTACGGCAGGACTACAAAAAAATTGATGATGTCCATGAGGGAAGTCACTTTTATGCATTCCAGCTAAGGTGGTTGGGGTCTGAAATGTTCACCAAAGGCTCATGTGTGGAATTCTTGGTCTATATGCAGTAGTGCTGAGAGGCAGGGCTTTTGAGAAGTGATTTAGGGCTTGGACCTCACCAGTGGATCAAACCATTGATGGATTCACAATTTGATGACTTTATTAGGAGGTGGTAGAAACAATAGGTGGAGTGGTATCTAGTTGGAGGAAATACAGACATGTGCTCTAGAAGACTATGTCCTGTCACTTCCTCACTTTGTCTCTCTCTGCTTCCTGCCTGCCATGTTGTGAGTGGCTTCCTTCTTCCCATACTTCTGCTGTGATGTTCTGCTCCATCTCAGGCCCAGAACAATGGAGCCAGTCAATCATGGATGGGAACTTCTGAAATCAAAGAGCCAAAACACATCCTTCCTTCTTTTTTCAAGTATTTTGCCACAGTAACAAACAATTAACACACTATGTAACTGTCAAAAAATATTTTGATTAATCCTACTAGAGAAAAAGCTGACTTATCTATAAAATAGAGAAATTTCATATGAAATCATTCATATGAAGAGACCATCAAACATGTACAGCTGATAAATGTGGAAAGCAAAAATGACAAAGATGTGTCAGGCAGTTAATTAATAAAATATATTTTGTTATTTTTCTGCATTTTGTGGTACATGTGCTCTTTACTAGACATTAAAAGTTTGTGATTTATTATCTCCTGATATATTCCTGTTCTTATCTAATTTTGCATATCTAGTGTGTTCATTTCTTCAAGAAGGCTTTAAATTGTCTATATTTTGGATCCCTAAACTTGGATCCTCCCCTTTGGAGTTTTACAAACAGCCTTAGTGCCTCAGCTTGAGGTCTCACTCAGTTTTAAAAATTTCCCTTCCCTTACATGCTGCATGCTGTTCCTCCCTTGTATTTGTGGGTTTCCTGGTTCATGGAGTGGGGAACTGTCCCTTGTTCAGACCAGGCCTGGTCAAAGTCTAGGACTGATGTGTGTTCATACACTGAACTCTTGTTGTAAGGTCCTGGCTGCAGACAATGTGGTGTCCCCTTGGGCAACCAGCAGGGATCAGCCGGGAGGGTGCTAGTGCAGTTTTCAGAGATTCATGCCTGACTGTTTGAACTCATAGTTATCTGTTAGTTCTTGGGCATCTTTCCAGGATATAGTTACAAGTTGGTCATGACCACCACCCCCATATCTTCTCCCTGTCTACAATCCCTGATTTCTTTTTGTCTTTTGAGTACTTATCAGAAGTGCTCTCACTCTTCTCAATGTCTTTTGTCTTGTTCTTTAAAAATAAACTTTAATGGACTCTCAAAAATAGACCTTGGGCTCATTAACAGCCAAAAATTTAATTCCTCTTTCCTGAGTTGCAGGAGAAGAAGCTGTTTATCTTCAATTCCTTCCAGGAAAATAAGAGAAACATTTGTAGTCTATCCCTTTGAAGCAGCAAAGCAAGGGAAGCAGGGTTAAATTGCAATATTAAAGCAGCCTTGCCTGTTTGTAACCGAACATAAGTGAAGAGAGTTAAAAGAATTTTGGAGGTAGAAGTAGACTGAGGTTCTCTAGTCAATCCCAATAATGCTACAGATGAAACAAGGGAAGCCCACAGAGGGTAAATGATGCTAAGGTCAAACTTTGTGGGTCAGAGAGACAGGCCAATCCAGACTGCTTAGACCCTGGACCAGTGTGTTTTCATTCTGTCATATTCAGGGTTATATGTGTTGAGGAAGTTTTAGATACAGTTATTGAGTATCATACTAGTACTATCTTCTAAAACATTTAGAGATGTTTTACCAAAAATTTTAAAAAATTGAGTCAATTTTCATCTTTTGGTGTTAACTTGCTAGTCTACTTGAAGAATTCAGAAAGTGTGAGTTTTCAAGGTCTTTTTCATTTTGAAGCATATGATTTTCTTTTTTTATTTTTTATTTTTCAATTAATTTTATTAGTACATTTTAGGTATACA